AATAAAGGTATAAAGCCAACACTACATACTTTTCTGCAGTAGTTCTCTGATTYAATGTAGCGTTGAAGAATTGTTCAATGACTTCAGGCTGACCAAAAGAATTTAAACAAGAAGTAAATTTCAAACGTGGCCGAACTACTTCAGTTACACTAAAAAAAGTTATTTGTTTAGATAAATTATTTTAATCTGAATAAATTATTAATTTCTTTAAGTAAACAATCATTTAACATTATTTATAGTTTTTATTAAAAATTTACTACTTTAAAGCATATTTTAGTTTAAGCAAATGTATTCAGCAATATTAATTATAATCGTTTATATACTCTTTATTATCATTTTCAGCTTGTTTTTGTTTAAAAGCTTCAACTTCAGCCTTGTTAACAATATTGTCAAGTGAAATAGACAGTGGCAAACAGTATTCTGGTCTATAAGTGTATTTAATTTGTCCTGTAGTTGAACATTGATAACGGTCTTCAATGTTAAATTTGAAACATTCTGCTGGGTTTTGAGAATTTTGACTATAGCGCTAAAAACATGAGTAAAATTGTATAAAAGATAATAACTTTTGTAAAAAAATATACAAAAATACCTCTATCATAGACAAAAAATACAAAAAAAATTCTTGYGCATCTTGTTGTTTCTTTGAAGCAAACTCAGGATGTCCTTTACCGATCAACGATTTAAAAGTAGTTGGTCTAATACCATGATGCCAATATTTTTTTCCTTCAACAACTTCTGAAGGTGGCGTTGAATATTTTCCTGAACATAGGCCATGAGCTACTTTTGCCCTGAAAAATAATTTATTTTATTTAATATAAAAATATTTGAATATTATAGTAATTAACATACATTTGTACATCAAAATTTTCAGTGGGGTTGGTTTGGCACATTTCAAATATATCTTTTGAGGCTAAATAGTACCTATAAAATTTTTTTTATATTAACTGATAATAAAATACATGAATATTAGGTTTGTGGATATTAAATCAACATAATTAATTTCTTACTTATCGGTAAAATCCGAAATAGAAAATAAAACTTGCATGATACTATTCATATAACAAGAATTTCCCAAATTGTGAATACCTGTGTAACCAGGACCAAAAATTGGTTTTAATTCACTTCCACTTTCTTGTAATGTTGCCCATTCACCAACTTTTTGGTTTAAAGCTAATTCTAATTCTACCATTGATTTTTCAGTCTATAAATAAATATTATAAAATTACTATGTTAAATAAATTTTTAGTCATATATAAACAATATTACCTTTTCTAAAGCAGAAATATTGATACCAAAATGTGAGAGATGTTTGATTAAATTTGGATTTTCCACCATATCATCTTCTGGATAACTGTATACATCTCCTTTACCCTCTTTTGTAATAGTACCAAGTTTAACTGCCAATGGGTATTCTAAAATAATAATACAAAATAACTAATAAGCTAAGGTTAAGTT